ACTACAACATCTGACACTCAAGATTGACTATCATTAATATATTGTAGTGCATCACTGACTTCTTTTGGTTATTTTTTTTATATTTAATTACCTTTAAAGTATTTATTTTTGGATAATTGTGAACACATTATATGCTAGATCTACTGGAGGGTTTATGGTTAGGCTGATAAGTGATGTGCAGTTACTCGTCCACTTGTTTTGTTTGTGTTTATCATTATGCCATATAGATACGCAAATTTTATTTTTTAACTACTTGCACGATTGCCTTGATATACATATTTTCCCACAACTCCAAGCAACAACGACGCCAAAATGACGTAGACCAGTGTAATCAATCAATGTCGTTCAAGTAGACAGATATGCTTTGTTGTGTAGTCGTTCGTCATTTACAATACAGCCAATCAACGACTAAAAAAATAAAAAAAAACGACACCGACTTTGTTAATTGTGTCTAGTGCACCCATTCAAGTCCCGGAAGCGCGTCGTCGCTAGATGGCGCTATTTATTGGAGAGGTACGTTGACTAAATTTATGTGTCCACAGATCATTAATTAAACAATGTGATTCACACCGTAAGATGACGCTGTTACATCCAGACAAAGCGCATTTATTTAAATATAACTATATAACGCAGTATGTTACATGTTATGAGATTAATCTAGTCTACTGATTACAAAACGTCAACACATTGCATCATATATTTAATCACAAAAGATGGCTGTGTATTATGGGTTAGAACTGACCGACGCTATGGTTAACACAAAATCTGGCTCTTACTCCGGGTTTTGAAATAAAAATGAGATATCTGAGATATTATGATGACATACAAACCTCTTATTGGAACGCGGAATGCTTATGCTTTGAAGAAGATATAATTCCGTCCTCCCTGAAAAAAAACAGACACATTACCAACAAATAAAAAAAAACATTGTTATCACCAGGAAATGAATAAATATAAGAGGAAACCAGCAACGGAGCGTAACGTGCACTTGGGAGCATTCTTAATGATGCACGAGCTTCGTTTTTCATCTATGATTTTTGTTGCTACATTTACGAAAACTGAGCTAAAAATGATGTTCATATCACTAAATACATATGAATACATATGGTAATATGACGTCACGGTGTATAATATGACGTCACGGTGTAGGATAAAAACAAAGCTCAAAAAAAAAAATCTTTAGTCGATCAAAAACTCCAGCTGTTGTTTATGTATGAATAACATGTCACAAACAATGATAATTTTTCTCAGTGTTACA